AGGAGGCGTCCTTCCCGTGGAAAGCGCGTCTCCTCACGCCCCATGCCCCCATCAGACGCAGACGTCCGCCTGCCTCTGGGAGAGGTGGGGGCGCGGGAAGGGTAAACGCAAACTTTAGAAGATGACTAAGCGTGTAAATACACTCTAAGATGATAGAAAAAAGGAGGACATTATGATTTTATACTGAGGTGAGCTTTCCTTTTTAGATGGCGTGTTTCCCCACAGTCTGGACTCTGGGCACTCGGCGCACCAGGAGGTGTTTTCATGGTCCCGCCCTGACGTGATGCGTTAACTGGAACGTGGACTCAAAGACACAGAAGGTGACAGAAGAGAGGAGCCATCATTGGAGGGAACGATGTGGCGCCTTGTGCTGGGTGGGTGTTGGGGAGGGGGGCAGGAGGTCCTAAGTCACCGAAGCCGCCAGGACGGGGTCACCACGCGGGACGCTGGCTTCTGCATCCATATCACTTTATGGTGACTTTCTGTGGGTGCTCGGTGCTGCTGGGAGGAGGTGCTGTTGGAATCTGCTCCCCGATTTTAGGAAGAGATGACCTGCGACAGCAGAGGCGCTGTGTGCACTTCAGTGCCAGGGCAGCGGACCCCCAAGAGGCAGGAGGGGTACATGAGAAGGACCGACTGCAGCAGGGCCATGGCGGGGGGCTTACGCGGCAGCCCCCCTGGTGTGTCAGCTGGTGACTGAGATTATTCCCGTCGTGCCACAGGCTCCGGCCTGGGAAGCAGGGGCTGATCTCTGGTCTCCGGGGGCCCTGAATTGGGGCCACATGTGCACTATCCACGGAGGAAATGAGTGCTTGGCACGCTGGAGATTGTGTCATGATGATATCACGAGAATATCCAGTTTCCTCTCATATTCCAGATGGAAAACAGTGAAAAACACTCTCCAAAGGCGTCACAGTTTGGGCACTCAGCTGGCATGAACTAATCTCCCGAACCCAGAGCACAGGAATCAACACAGCTCCGGGGCTTCTCCCTGAGCCTCCGGCTTTGGGGTCCACGTTTCGCCCGGGATCCGGAAGCCACAACCCACCTACTGGGCAGGTGTGTCTGAGCGCGGTCCAGGGCGCACGCGCCCTGTGCAGCCACCTTCGGGGACCCAGTGAGAGAGTAACTCAGGAGAGGTAGATCTGTGTGGTCTCTGCAGGCAAAGCAAATTGAGAGTCCAGTACAAGGCTTTGGGAAAGAGGAAAGGTCTTAGCAAAAATAGCTTTTATCTATTTTGGGGAAAACAGCTTCCTCCTCAGTCTCAGAGCAAGAGGGGAGGAGAGGGCGCCGGGTCTGAGAGGCAGGCTATGTCCCCACGTGGCACACATGTGACATTCTCATGTCTGCAGCGACCTGTGCAGCCAGCGACCATCTTAAACGGTGTTGCTTATGGACGTGTCTTTCTTATGGAGGGAGGTGACCGTGACTGTGTAAAAACAGCTTATCACGCTCAAGCTTATCAAATGGCCCATTTGATATTTTAAAGACTTGGTTGGGATGGTAGAAATACACTATATTTTTAATTGTGATTATGAAAAAGTATGAGTTTGTTCCCCTAGGTGACGAAAACAATTCCTACTGTATTTCACTAAAATAATTTTGAGTTCTTGAATTTAAAGTATTACTATGCATATGTTAATTTGGTTCCAGAACTAAATAGTGACAACTAATCAATAAAAAATAAATGAATATTGATATTGTAAGACTTTTTCAATACATTATTTATAGTACCCTTAAGACAAGCTAGATATTGCATTTAAGGAATCAATATGGTGATATGGAAATTAAGGCTAATAACTTGTACTTTAAATTCTTAGTGTGATGAATAGTTGTTAAATATTTATTCCTTGATGATTTACTTCCTTGATTAGTTTCCAAAACTTATTCCACTTTAAAAAATGAGCAATCTGGAATCATTGATTTTCTTTGCATTGGGTTACACAGGCATTCCCTAATGCTAGGCAAGCAAAAAAGACAGAGATCATCAAGAAAAAAACAACAGAAGGAAGCTGAATGTTTAGTTCAATTATGTCATAAATTTTGAGGTGTATAGGATGAAAGAACAAGGGTAGAAAATGCTGGTGGTCTTTGTTTTAAACGTTCCATTATTTACATTTAACATCATATACCACGCTTTTGGGCTTAATCATACATTTGTACATATATAACTTCCTTCCATGCTTGGGTCAACTTTCATCTTTTTTTCCGTTTCCTTCCACATTAAAACATCTTCAAGATTGAATATTTAGTGAAGTTGGAGATCCCCAGCAATCTAGTTGCAAGTTCTAATCCAAAACGCTCCACTTCCAGATACAAACACAAGAAATAATGGAAAAATAAAACCCTAAATATTTTGAATTTATACTTGCACATGTTCTGAAAAGAAAACAAACAAATAAAAACTATACAAATACAAAACACCATGAAAAGCTTATGTGGGAAGGAAGTGTTTCAAAGTGGTGCCTACAAGGTATCGGGTCCAGTACAGGACCCGTGGGGTAACGATTAGGTTTTCACATCCCCAGGGGAAGAGGCCTAGCTTGAGCTCACCTGAATTCCGGGAGCTGGAACTGATCCCACAGTAAGGAGCCCGGAGCCCCATGCAGGACTTATCCATTCCATTAAAATGAACCAGGAAAAACTGTGCCACTCAAGAAAAGGCAGTGACATAAGCCATTTCGCCTGGAGCCTGGAGTGGAGTGACTCGCTCACGCAGGTTCCGCTGTGCGTGAGAAGGGAATTCACATCCACATCATGTGTGCTGCTGAGAGGACCTGAGCCCAGAAACTAAACTGAGGTCTAGTGAAGTGAATCCTTAGGATTCGGCAGAAGCAAATGGAACAATGTCACAGCCCAGAGGCAGGGGACTCCAGAAAGGACCCCCTGGAGAAAACACAACAAGCAAGTGAGCTCTCAAGAAGAAGAGTCAGCCCATGCAACAAACAGGCGGAACAGTGACCAAAGGGGAGGACTTAATATAGTCATTAAAAGTGACTCTGAAAAAGTCCTTTTAAATGGTTATGGAAAGAACAGAATCGTAATGAAAGGTCAGCACACTACCAAAACACAAATTAAAAAAGACAATGGAAAGATCTATAGAGAATTAGGAATACAAATTATCTTGATTAAAATTAAAATAAACGATCAAGGATAAATTAGCTTTATAAGTTCCCTTTATTTTTTCTTATTCACGGGTTCGTCTAGGTGTTCTGTTGGGTTTCTCTTTTCTTTTCAACCCACCTAAAAGCAGAAACAAAGACTCAAAGAAGTTCCTCACCGAAGGGCCAGAAGGAAGTCTGCCTGCATGTTCGGGAGTTTTCCCTTCTCCCCTGACACTAGATAACCCTGAGCCTCATTATAGGATCATAACTGTTCATGGTATTAGAGATCCTATGAGTCATTCTCTCTCCACAATTGTACAGAGGGCGAAGCATAAGCTGCCATCCAGCACTTGAGCACTGACTGGACGTTTACCAGCCCCGGGGAGGTGAGGACTCCAGCGTCACCGCGGGAGGAAGCGCACTGTTTAGGAGAGCGCTCTGGGTCCCTCTCCCACTGCACAGGGAAGGCGCCCCTTCGTGGCAGCGCCCCTCAGCCTCTGAAACACACAAGCCAGCCCGCTGACTAACTTCAGTGAAGTCCACATTTTCATCAGGTTCCTACAGTGACTATTTGTTGCCAGCCTACAGACCTCAGGTAGATGCCATTGGTATCACTGTACCTTTTCCAGAAGCGAGCATATTAACTACACAGGGTATTCTCACGACTGCTGTCACATTGGGAGTATGGTCACTGCACATCGCAGGGCTACTGATGAGTCTCGCTGTCTTATGACTGTGCTTCCTAGTGCCTCTGGACAGAGTTTGTGAGGCATGAACATCAGGCCTCTAATGGATCACAGAAAACAGAAGATCAACACATTTTTAAAAGACAAAAATATTGAAACACGATAGTATAAGGAGAATACCCAAAGCCATACACTGAATGGTGGTGGTGGGGCTTCCATGAGAGCTGGCTGAACACATTATTTCACACCCTAATCTTTGATCCTGACCCGATTCCGTGGACCTGTTGCTGTCTGAGGTCCTGACACGGGAGAACTTTCTGGAATACCTCATTCTTCTGGCTTCTTATGCTCCTTTCCTGCTTCCCACCGATTTAGTCTTTCTTTCCCCTTTCTTTTTCTTATTTTTTTTCCTTTCCTTTCCTTTTTGTAGGTTATACAGAGGAGGTTTATAAAGAATCATTAATTATGATAAAAGGAATGTAAGGAAACGCTATGGCAGGAGCTAAGACCTTGTTGGAAAAGTGTTTCATTTTGGTCACTGGCTAACAGAGGCCTTGACTGGTGCGGCTGGGCCAGAGGTGACAGGCCTCCCTGTGGCATGCAGGCTGGGGAGCAGCAGGCCTAATGTCACCAATTCCCTGACCCCTTCAGTCAGGCCCAGGCCACCCTGCTGACTCAGTTCAGAGGGAGAGACACAGTAATTAGTCATGAGATATATAAACAATTACATTACCAATGTGTAAATCAATCACAAATAAAGTTCAAAGTGCTGCATATTCATACAAAATTACTCAAGTAATTGGATGTCTAAAAATCTCATATATCCTGTGATGACTGCATGCTTAAGATATCAATAAATTATCCACTGTCTTTTATTATTTACCTTGTTTTATACATATCATTTAGCTAAATATAATTTAATAAAGTATAAAATATTAAATAAAAGTAACACAAATTTTGGAAGATCATAGTTCTAATTTAGCTCTCTTACTATCAATGTCCGGTTGGAAGCACCTAGTATAAATCCATGTGCACAGGTGAGCACTTTATGAATTCCTTGAGGAAAAGCATCACTTCCATACCTACACAGATAAACTAGTACTTTGTTAGTTCCAAACAAATATATGTGATATCCCCCCAAAAACTATAACTATGTAGTCACTCCCACATAAAATGTTTGAAAACTAATTCAAAGGTTAACTAGTGCAGCTGAATAGATTTATTATGAAAAACCTTAGAGGTTCTGTATTAATGGCATATTAAATTATATTATACATCCTGAAGTTTAAATGGTTCATAAGTAGATTATTACAAGGAAGAAATCCATTAATATGAATATGGGTAATAAGGTCATTACCAGAGTTAAAAGAATTGAAATTGCATGATTAAAGTGCTCATTAATATGCTAAATAGTATAATATTAAAGAGATTATGGAACAGTTTTCAAAGATACATTTCATTTTAAGGAAATATCATATGAGGAAATTTAGTAACTTTAGGCAATTCTCTAAAAATGGCTGAGACATCAAGATTAAATAGCACAGATTTTTTTTCCCCCACAGAAAATAATTTACACCCCCCTCTTCTATTAGAGTTAAACTGAGAGAAAACACAGTAACGTAGACAGACCAGTGACCCGCAGTCAGGTACGTGAACTCAAGTTCTCACTACCCAGGTGTACCTTCCTGACTTTGCCCCAAGCCTGCTCACCCTCCATGCTGAACTTGTGTGTCTGCTCATGTTGTAATGCATGGGGAACATGTACAAATTCTGGGTACTTGGAAGCTTTAAAAGTGACACCTGGTGCACAGGAGGAAGTGCCTGGAGTTTTCAACAGCAGCAACCAGAATTACCGCTTTACATGACATTACTAGCACGTGGCAATCAACCATCACCAACATTTGGAAAGAACAGTGATGTATAAAATTATGCTTGGCACTGTGATATTAATTTACAAATACAACTTGAATTTGTCAGGGTTCTCCAGAGAAAAAGAACCAATAGGATGTGGGCGTAAATAAAGATTTATTTTAAGGAACTGGCTCCCATGATTATGGAGGCTGCAATCTGGGTCAAAGACCGTAAAGCTGGAGATTCAGGGGGACGGTGCCAGTGTGGCAGCTCAACCTGAGGTCACTCCCTGGCAGAATTCCCTCGTGCTCAGGGAGAACGGCCCTTGGGTCTAGTCAGGACATCAGCTGCGGTGACAAGACCTACCCCAGGGGAGGGGTGGGGCAATCTGCTTTACTCCGAGTCCACAGACTTAAATATTTAAATGTCAATCTCGACCAAAAATACCATCACACAGACATCTAACATAGTGTTTGACCACATATCTGGGCACCAAAGCCCAACCAAGCTGACATATAAGAGTAACTCACGTAAGTTAAATATGATTATTAATTATGAATCCAACATATTGATTCTCCATTTTAATCACAGTTGTCTTGAAATTAATAAAAAGCAAAGCAGTGACCAAGTAAAGAGTAGGAGGTTCCCAGATGAAATTTACACCATCCTTTTTCCTCATCAAAGTTCATAGAAAGGCCTTTACATACACACAGCATCTCAGCTTTTCCCGTTTCCACTTAAAAAACATGAACTGTTAAGAAATGCTGCTTGTTATTTCACTTTTAAATACAGTGACATGAAATAGCGTGTTGGGTTGTCCTCCTCGCCCATCCCCACAATGGGCAGGTGGTTTTTCATCATCTGTCACACGGAAGTACCGGGCCGGTGATTGGTGCGCATGCTCTGTCTGTGAGGGAGTATTTCTACGGCTTGGCCACAGCACCTCCCAAACCTGTCTGCATCTGGGACGCCATCTGCCTGGGGCAACATGTCAATACCTCATTTCTGCTGGGAGGACACATTCCATCTTATGTCCCCCCAAAGGCCAACTCACG